TTTTTCTTTCTCTTTCTTGGTTACTTCAATTAGAATGACAATCTTTAGGTCCATCCATGTTGCTGCAAATGGTGTTATTTTATTCTTTTTTATGGCTGAGTAGTATTTCATAGTATAAATATACCACAACTTCTTTATCCATTGACTGGATAAAGATGTCAATGGACATTTAGAGGATAAGCCTTTAAACTCCCTTTTCTCCCATCCCATTTTTAGCATTTTAATTCCCCATGAAAGTAAAGTTTACCAAGAATGTTTAGGTAACTAGAATGCCACGCAGAATATACAGTAAAAGACACCAAATTCCTTTTTTATTTCCTCAGCATGTGCTGGCTGGACCAAATTATAGGTAACTATGAAATACAGTTGCTTTGAAGTCCAAGAAAATAAATAGAGGTTTGGGAGGTAAAAGACTTTTAAATTTGCTGTTATCTTAACAGTGGATTGGTTGGTTGACTGTGAGTAAATCACAGAGTTGTTTTGTGAGGTTTGTCATGTTGATCCCTCTGTAGAGGTGACATGGCCAGTGTCCTGCCAGCCCTAGGAGCTTCTCTTGGTCTTACCATGCAGCCGTCAGAAACCCCATCAAGTGAATAAGAACACCCTGTTGAGAAGTGCAGGGTAGAAGAATTTCCAGATACGAGGCTAATGCAGAGAAAGGAGTGGGAATAGGATACAGATTGACAAGTTTTTTGTAAAGATTTCCATCATGTTTTTGCTAGAATATGGTGCAGAGAAAATATGTTTAGTTCAATAGAGGATTCTGAAGGGATGTTTAGTTGTTAATTCTGTCTTGTTTTTATTTGTTCTTATAGAATGAACAGCATGTTGATGGCTTTTCCTTTTTCAGCAGGTCGCTCATTTACACTGAAATCTGGAACACCCTTTGTACAAGCCAAGAGAAGACGGCTTTTTGCAACTAACTACTATGTGTAGACAGGTTTTATATTATAAAGTGTGCGTTCTTCTTACCACATACTATCTAGTTAGTTTATAGAGTGATTTCCCTCCCCAACTCCCATGTTTCTTGAACATGGTAACTTCACATCTTGGACCTTGATCAGTTGTGCTATTAAAACACTAAAACTTTGGCAGTTCTTGCATACAATTGTCAAATTTTTTAGTGTATTTTTGTGAAGTCATTTTTTCCTCTATCATTCCCTTTGTAGTAGTTGCTGTTTGATAAAAGTTGCTGTGTAATTTTTTTTATTAGACACATAGTGGATCCTTCGGTTGTAATTAGATTTTGTGAAGTAAGACGTTTATAGTTAGGGTTCTCAGACAGGGTGACTGTTGAGCGAACACCAAATAGTGTGTTGGTGATACTTCTCAAGTGGTTAGAAACATTTAAGATTGTGTATTCATAAGTATCTGACACTGCTCTGTTTCCAAAACTCTGAATTGAATCGTGATTTTATGTCTTGAGTCCCTGAGGTCAGATGCTAAAGTAACAAAGAGTAACTACTGCCACTTTAGTGTTGGAACTTTTGAATACAGAAAATGACAGAATTGCCTGATGTAATGAGGCGTTCAGTAGTAACAGTTTTGCATGAAATTTGAATACTTTAGTAGGACCTACGTTGTCCATCTACAGTAGTTACCATAGGAAATCTGGCAGGATTGTTCAACTCTTTTACTTCAACTTGTGAGCTGCTGGCTGGGAAGAAACAGAAAAAGGAGACAGACCATGTTAAGCCCTTGTCAGTTGCTTGGCTCGAAAATGATAAATGACTTGTAGTAGGCTTGAGTTTTTAAGAAAGACTTTTTCTTTGAACTGTTTCTTACCTAAATTCGTGCAGAGTAATGGTTTTATTATTGATGAATAAAGACAGGGACAGTAACTCCTGCAGCAACAGGGGTGCTAGGCCTGAGAGTCAGGCCTGCTGTGAGGGAGACCCTGTGACTCACAGCAGGGGGATCTTGTGTACAGAAAACTGAAGATGTGGAGGGATGAACTAGTGCTTTAGAGGAAAATCCCTAGTCAACACAGAATGATTTTTTTAAAGTTTCCTATGTTACCAGTCTTGATTGTTTGTATTGCAAATATATAATAATATTAAGAAATAATTTGTCCTATTTATAAATTATATGGGGAACACAAAGGAGTCAGTTTCTTCTGGGATAAGATGAATTACTCACTATTATTACTAAGCTGCAGAAACTCCTTTGCTGGGCTAGTGGGTTGTGCTGCGAGGTGTAGCCCTGAGCACCCAGAGTGGACTGGGCTCTAAAGACCGGACAAAGCTGTGTGTGGGATGCTCCCAAGCCTGGAAGATGGCAAGTGGACAGTCGGGATGGAAGGAGTTGGCTTCCTTGGAAGATTTCAGAGGAAGCTCCCCTGACCAAAAATACCTGCCATGAATAAAGGTGCCTGAAATCCTGCTCTTGGCACTTTTTTTGTGTCAGAAATATCTGTTTGGTTTTCCATGTTTCATACCCTTTCAGATGATCAGCTGAAATCAAAACAGGGGTGGGAGGGAACAGGAGGGAAGGACTGTGCCACCAAGAGGGAGGCAGAGGAGCAGGGAACCTCCGACTATGGGTTCGCCCAATGATGGTGAAGGAGCAGACGTCTGATGTGGTCCAGAGGGAAACCTTAGCCAGGAGTGCCCCCTAGGACGCTTGTCCCTGGAGAAGCTGCAGCAGAGAAGGGTCTGTACTCACTGGGAGGTAGAATCTTGCCAGTGGAGGCAATTCACCCAGTGCAAATTAGCACCAGAAAGGCTCTGAGCCCATAGAGCAGAAAGGGGACTTAACTCATCTGCCAATTTCCAAGCTATTTGGCCAGGGATCTTTATACTCGGCACCTAATTAACCTCTCATTGAGCCAGCGTAAGGTGTGAAATGCACCTGCGGAGATACTAGTTAAAGCCAATCAGTAGCCCTGCGGTCACTTCCTAGACTGCACTCCAAGTACTCTCTTGACACTTACCCAGCCTTAGCCTCCTGTGAAATGGGCTCTGTGACCCTGGGAAGCCTTCACATCATCTGTGCTTTCCCTCAACCTGAGGGTCCCCAGGAAGTGCAGAACGTGGTACCTGTAAGTTACCACAGCGCCGCGCACCCAGGTGCTCTGGCCACAGCCTCCCCATCAGGTTCAGCCTTTTGAGCACAGCCTGGTTTTGCCAGAGAAACACCTCCTTCCCCCTCTGACCCTCCCCCCAGGGTTCGGGACACCTGCTGGTCCTGGAGTCTCTGCTCTGTGAAGGCTTCTCTCGAGGTCAGCATTGCCTCTTTCTAGTTCCGGGCATAATCTTTCTGTGCAGGAATATCTGTCTACCCCTCTTATTCTCCAACTATTTTTCGTTCATTTATAGGCCAGTGAAGATCCCACTTAGAGCTAAGAACTCCAGCTAGCATGCAGGTGCTTGCAGTAAGCAGAACAGCCTTAGATGTGATTAAATGCCCTCATCTGCCAAGTCCAGATGCCCCATCAGCTTCCTCATTTGGCCTCTAGTTAGTTAATCCTGCTTTTGTTCAAGACATAGGAGTTTTAAATGTTTTAATATTATTTCATCAGTTTATTTGTATACTGTTTCATGTCTAGCTAAAGTGCCACCATGTTTGACCTTATCAGAACAAACGTACAGCGTTTCAGGTAATTAAAGTTTCATTTGCCTTTGTGAATCGTAACAGCACTTACAACATCGTTGCTGTGGGGACATAGAGTCCAACAAACCACTTAGAATGAACCTAACATTCTGTTTGTAAATGGAAAGTTTCCTATGTGGATGTTTATGTTCCTTTTTTCAATTCTGTAGTCTATATATTTTAAGTAAATTAAAACAGGAATTTGCACAATATGTTGTCAGATCTAGCCCTGTGAATTAACTAGCAACAGTTAATGATTAGTCATAACTAAGAGCATCTGTGAAAGCATTGTAAACCACTGTGCTGCGCTGGCATTGTGTTTACGTTACTTGGCTTAATCCTCACGACAGCCCTGAGTTAGGTTTTTATCTGATCAACCGTTTTAAACAGAGCCCAATGCTGGGTGACAATTGACCGAGGTGTCACAGCTGTTTCCTGCCTGTGGTTATGAGAGCTAAGATTTCCAGCTCCTCACGTCCCAGGCTGTCTGGGAATCAGCACCCCACTGCCTGGGTGGATCTTGAAATTCGTTTTCAAAAGGCTGATTTTGCATTTTCAATTAAGCATGACCTAAGTTAAATAATAAACCGGCTTGATGTGAATTTTTGTTCAGAATTAAAACTATTCAGGGCTGGTAGAAATGCTCCTGGACTGTCTTCTTCCACCCCACCCCCAGCCCCGATCAGTTATTTGAGAACAGCTGTAGAAACAAACCCAGTTCGGTTTCTCAAATGTCTGCCTTGACAAACCGCGGGGAATACTAACTACTGGTTTTCACAGTGATTTCCTTGCTAACAGCCCTGTCATTTCTCACACAAAACTTATCCCTTGAGACCCACCTTGGGGGAAAAAAAGACTGCCTCCCCCAGTGACCTCTTTGCTTACTATCTTATCAAGTCTCTTTGTTTAAAAAAAAAAAGTGCAAAGGTCTTAAGGTACCCATGCATCCATCACCTAGAACCTTGTCTCCTGGGAGTGATATTAAGGGTCTGCCTTTAGCTGCAGCCTCTTTAAAAACTCTTTCAATGAATGAAAAGGGGGTTGGGGGTAGAGGGCTGTGAGTCAGTGCCCAAAAATGAAAACCAGAGGGATTGTGACTGAACATCACTCATTGACCTCACAAATCGCTTTGGAAATAGGAAAGGAGTTTGTTTCTACAGATCGGGTTGAGTCTGTTAGAAAAGAATCGTTTCTAATGCTTTGCCCTCACACTGAGACTTTCGCCGAGAGAGGTGCCTGGAAGCCCCTCGGACACCTGCCTAGGATGAGGTCTGTGTCTAATAGATGCAGAACATCTGCTTCCACAGGCCCTGGCCACCGCTGTTGGTCCCTCCTTAAGCAAAGCCAAGCATGTTCACATGCACACACGTAAACTGCGTGTGTAAACCTCACAGAGATGCTCCGCTGCTTCGTGGTAATAATCGTGGCTGTATGTGTATGCTTTCCTACTTTGTGGATGCCTTTTAACCAACTATATGGATCAGTGGCAAAATGTCTGCTTTCCAAAAGAAATAATATCATTTCCAAATAGTTAAAAGAGTTTAGGATCGAGCCGTGTGAAAGAATTCAGCTACAAAGGAGACTAGATTGTCTCACAAGGAACAGCTTCCCCAGGGAGACTGAATTCCACACCTGCCAGACCATCAAAGACCCAGAATGCACCACCGAGGGGTATCCCACAGAAAGGTATGCCTTGCTCCTTTCCTCTCATCTGTTTTAAGAGTGAAGACAGCATTTCCCCAAAGTTATTCCTCTTGCTGTGCCCACACCTAACACAACCCTCAGCAAGGCACCAGGCGCAGGGCGTCTCTGAGCCCAGTGATGCCCATGTTTCAGTGCCACTGGCATCCGGTGGGCAGAGACCAGGGGTGCTGCTCGACACCCAACAAAGCACAAGGCGGCCCCACCATAAACAATGATCCGGCTCCAAGAGTCAACAGAGCCCAGATGGAGAAACCCCCGCTTAACCCATTGAGGATTCAACTGTGCCTGGTATCAGGTGTCTTCTAATAGCTCCCGGCCCCTCAGAGGAGAGGAGACTGAGAACTGGACTAGGGTTCTATCCGGATGGAAAGGGAAGGCTGCTGGTTCCAGACTGCTTAGGTGTAGCTTCTCAGTTATAAATTGTAACACTGGAGATGGTGAAATAAGAAGCCAGGTGGCTCTCAACCATGGCCGCACATCACAGTCTCCTGACCAGGTGGCACCCACATGCCCTGCTTCAGAATCCCCGCAGGTGGACCCGGACAACAGGGTTTGTCTTAGCATCAGGGTTGAGAACTGTTGCAGAAGGTGTCCTGCCGCTTATCGGGTGAGGGAGGGGCTTTCGCCTGCAGCATCTCAGCTCCTCAGACACTCAAAGGTCATTGACATCGAAAAGTTTTCCAGCTAGACTCCTTCTCCCTCTAGTCAGCCCTCAAAAAACCCATTCCTAAACCATTACTGTAGTTTTACTACCTCTTACCTTTTATGGGTCTTTAGAAATTGCCATCAAAACCGAGTGTTTCCAGAAAGAAATTTTAAATATTAAATATCTTAAAACTACAGGCCTGTTATGCAGAAGGAAAACCCAATTAACTTTAATGCGCTGGGGCTAATCATTAGAAAATTCATTTCTGGAGATTTGAAGGATCTGGTTGTTTCTTCTACTGATACATTCTCATAGAAATAGACCACTTGACTGTTTCTGCTCCAAGATCCTATTGAGCAAAGGATGGGCCCAGATACTTCGTGGAACAGAAGCCTGAGACTGGCCTGGTACACAGATTGCAAGGCTAGAAAATCTGCAAAAATGATATTCCAAAGAAGAAAGTCAGACCTCCCACTTAATAAGGCAGTCAGCTCTGATGCCCTCCAAATCCAGATGTCCCTCAATCAGAACCTGTGTTCACTGGGCGTAATTAAGAATCTTAAGAGAAAGACTCTTGAAACCAACTGTCAAAATTACTTTGTATTGCAAGCAGAATTTCAAAAAAGTTTATGATTACCACGGGTCAGCACTGGGATCCATGAACCCTCATCACTGTGGCCAGACCTTCTATCAGAATCCTTTGTCTGAGAGGCTGATGACCAGAAACTTGCATTTTGCCAGCATCATTGAAAGGAAATACAGTAAGAGTCTTTCAGTGAGTCAATCTCATTTTCTCAAGGACAGACAAGGCTTCACAATGACCTGCCACTCAACCTTGCCCTCCTAAGGAAAAGCAGAGCCTGAAGGACCCCCTGGCACAGCTGAGCCAGTCTTTCTGGAATCACTGACTGTGAACATTTTCCTCTCCATGAACTGCCAGAAATGTCTTGGGTTTATTCAAGCTCATCTGTATTCCAGAACAACTCTGAACCAGATTTGTTAGAACTACTTTTACAAGTTACTGTTTGGCAAGTTCAGAACTTAAGGAGTCTTTTTTTGTACTAAGTAATGTAGTAAACTGGGTAAGAATTCTTTGAAATTATATTGATGTGGTCCTAGGTCTGCTTTATGCTGTATTTAACACCAGTGAAATGTTAAGTGTTTTCTTCCCTGGGAACTAACAACTGTTTTGTTCTTACATACATGGAGAAAACATTTCTTCCTCAAAGTCAGTTACCTTAGGGCAGTGGGTCTTCAAATGGGGTCCCCAGGCCAACAGCATCAGCATCACCTAGGAACTTGTTAGAAATGCATGTTCCCAGGCCCAGCCCCAGCCCCAGCCCCACTGACTCAGAGACCCTGAGGGGGAACCAGCACCCGAGTTTTAACACACCCTCCAAGAGATTCTGATCTCCCTCCAGCGTGAGACCCGGCGCCTTAG